TCTCTCTCTCTCTCTCTGTGTCCGGTACTAACCTGTGAAGGTGGCGCATTGTTGCAAGTACATCGAAGACGAAACTGGAGCTATGGCGCCGCAGGTAAGTCTCCTTGGCCTCCTTCAACTGTCTCTCTCTCCAACGCTACTCTAAGCTCCTAATAGCGCCCAACGCTGAAGACTACTCCTAACACTACTACTACTACTGCAGCGCTCCTCCAAAGTGCTGGTGCCAAATCTTGAGGACTGCCTCCTGCCTCCTGCACGTGAAGTGCCCGTGAACTGCCTGGGAAGTCCCCGAGAACTACCTGCAGCCTGCAGGGCGGGCTAGTACTATATAGTGCTGGCTCGTTCGGGAGGCTGCTCTTGCCAATGCCGAAACCCCGGCGTTGAAGTTCAAAGAAAGGTTGTCTTGAAACAGGCTCAAAAATGGTCTGTGCTAAACCCTGGTCTGGCGCCTAAGTTTCAGGGCAGGTCAACTTTATGAGGGCCTGAAAATGGCCCTCGTTTTCAGGCTTTTAGGCTGAAACGACACAGGCCTGGAGGGCCCTTATTTTTTGTCTGGTCGGGCCCTGCAGGCCCGTGTGGATGCGCAGGATGCCACACCTTGCATTGTTCTTGCAGCTCCCCTTTTACTGTGCCTCTTACGCACAAGGCTGCCCACGTTGATTGTGGTTGAGCGACAACTGCCCACATCCCTGTGTGCCTTCACGACCCACTTGCACGTTATTTCAGGAGGCAGAGTAAAAGGGAAGGTATGCTCCTATGCATTTCTCTTCAGAGTTTCATACTCCTGTTCATTTCACTTCAGATCTTCAACTTGTACAGTCTTTGTGTCCGTCCTTCATCTTCATACTTCCATTCATTTCATTTCTGATCCTGGGTTAAGCCGACGTCCGGCCCAGACGGACCAGGCCAGACCAACGGGGGGGGGTCTGTCCGGCAAAACCAGATGAGCCAAAAAACATCCCAGATTTTTTTTTTTTTTTTTTTTGAAGATGAGGTTGGAGTGCGCGCGCTGAGAGGAACCCGAATCCGCAGAGAAACTTGTGAAAGTCATTGACCACTGAGAGGAACCCGAATCCGCTGAGAGGATTGTCAAGGGGGTAAAAGGTTGTGTTGTAGCAGCCAGTCCGCTGAGGGGACTGGCTATTTACAGTACAAGAAGAAGAAGAAGAAGAAGAAGAAGAAGAAGAAGAAGAAGAAGAAGAAAGGAGCAGACTGAAAATAAAAACAGGCTATTGACCACTCTCGCAAATGAAGTCATATGGCGGGAGATTGAGTGTCAAAGTCTCTCTCTCTCTCTCTCTCTCTCTCTCACACACACACACACACACACACACACACACACACACACACACACTTAGTATCACACACACTTGTGGACATGCTGATCTCATTCGGAATCAGCGTCGCAGCCCTCATCCTCAGATGGCTGTTCGCTGCAGTCAGCTGATTCCGGGTCACCCTCCACGACCGTCTTGCGCTTGAGGCGCTGTTTCTTTTTTTTAAGCGGTGTAGTGGCCGTGTCAGTCTCCTACTTTCGCGGTCTGCCACAAGGACGTTTTGGCTGTGCAGGAGCGTCCTGTGATGGCTCCTTTCTCTTCCTGCCCACTCGGCTCACCCACAGGTTGTCATGCTGGACATCCTCCCTCATTGCGGGGAATTCCGGTATCTTCTCCTCGGACTCCAGAAACTCCGGCAGTCGGGGCCTGCGTGTGTAGACTGCTGTCGTTGTGGGATGGGGCTCGTCTTCGCGGCCCGTACCGACCTCGCCATGCTGCATCTTCTGCTGCGCCAGTCCTTCCCCCTCCTCTTCCTGCTGCATTTCCTCTTCCTCCCCGCCTTGCACCGTGCCTTCCTCTTCTTCTTGGTGCTCCATCTCCTCTCCCGACTGTGGTTGCACCATGCCCTCCGCCTCTTCGTCCTGTTCCATGTAATCTCCCACCTCAGCCTGGTGCTCCTCCTCCTCTTCTCCTTCTTCCTCAACCTCCAATGCCTGATTGATATGCTGTTGGGGCTCCCTGGCTTGTTTGAGACCTCTCTCGATCTCTCTTCGGGTTGGGATAGCTGCACGACGGGCCTCCTCCTCCATCATACGTTTGTTGACGAGTTCGGTCTCCCGGTCAGCCATAGCCTTGGCACGGTTCGCATCCTCCTCATCTCCGTCCACCCTCGTTTCCAGCAACGTCTCGACATCCGTGTCTATCCGTGCGAACTCGACATCAGATTGCTTGTACAGTGCAGTTTCCCTCACCCCGAGCTCCGTCGCTGCCAGGCGTGGCTCTTCTTTGCGATGTCGTCTGGTCCGCCTCCTTCCGACGTACGTCGTGCCTGGGACGGACGACTCCGGTCGTAGCTCGAAATCGGAGTCATCGTTGTCATCCTCTTCGCTGCCACTCGAGTCCTCCGACGATCCGCACTTCCCCTTCCACAGCTCGTCATCCAAATCACTGTCATCCGTGATCTCTTCGTCCTTGTCCTTGAGATTTTTTGGAACCCTTCCCTTCGGAGTCTTTGTGAGCCTCCGTTCCCGTACAAGCTCCTCCTCTGTCTTCTCAGCCTCATCCTCGGGCCCCTTCGACACCGATCCATCGTTCTCTTCAGGCTCCGGGGCGGGCTCGACGAAGTCACACCACAAGTCCACAAATCCGTTGTTCTTAGTCTCTGGAACACGCAGTAGCTGCATGTTCCAGTGTATGTACACTAGCTTCGCCAACCTTTCTGGTGACAACTTGTTCCTCCGTTTGAAATGGATGAAGTCCATGGAAGCCCAGTTCCTCTCCGTCGGTGATGCGGTGCTCCACATGCCCATAACCTTGATCGCAACCTTCTGCAATTCGGGCACGTCGCCATCGTGTGCTGCCCACCATTCTGGCGGTGTCTTCTTGTCAACATCTGCCTTCGCTGTGGGGTCCCACATCTTCGTGTCATTCCTTTCGGGCCGTTCCTTGTAGGTTTGGTGTGGAACTCGTTCAGGTCACTCCAAATGTCAAGGTGCGCTTGCCCTTTCCATTCACCTCCAACCTGCCATGAGAGAAAGCGCATGGTATTCTGCACAAGCGCACTGTCTTGGTCATGCAACCACCTCGGTTCTCTCCTGCGAGGGTCCAAAAGAAAGGCTGCTGCGTGGGCGGGCTGCCGCATCATCTTCATGCGATCTTTGACTTTCTCCATCACGCTCGCCCGATGCTCCACCGTAAGAACGACATGGCTAAGCTTCCTCTCTATCATGTCGTCATACTCGACAAGGTTTGTGGGACCGGTACCATCCTGATCCATCCGCCTCAAGAGGCCGTACACGGGCTCCATCACCTCAACCACCTTGTTCAACCCCGTCCACCACTGATCACTCCTCAATGTGAAGTACACCAGATCCGATCTGGCCCTCAACTTCGACGTGGACCATCGGATCGCATTCCACTTTATTGCATTCCGACCGTTGACCATGTCCTTCAACACCGCCCTCCTGTCGTATATCCTCTCCAACATTCGGTAGACTAACCCGAAGCGCACCTTCGTGGGCCGAAGAAGAGACAGCGAATTGTCCACTGTCATCATTAGACTGTTTGTGCTGTGGTGATTTCTGATGAACTTGACGATTGTGTGACCCCTCTTAACGGTGTGCTTCACCCAATCGAGTTTGCTGAGGTCGTGTAAGAGAAGGCTGCGGCAATGCGCAGCGCAAGGAAGCCACAAAATCCTTGCTACCTCCTTGTTCGTTCGTCGCTCCAGGATCTGAGCCGCCCTTTTGTCGACCTCCGTGTTGTCAGTGCAGATCGCATTGATTCGACGCAGTCCGATTTCCCTCATGATCTGCTCCCAAAGTTTCGCCAATACAGGTCCGGTCTTCTTCCTCCCGGACATTGACACCATCGCCACCAAAACCGCCCCATCCACCCCAGCTGCCAAGAAGTTCATCACGGGCCGCTCCCGACGATCACTCAATCCGTCTGTGATGAAAGTACACCCGCTCACATCCCAACAAGTCGTCAACTGCTCCACCGTCTTCTACACTCACATGTACACAATGTCCAACATGACGGTCCTCATGTGGTTGAAGGAGGGCAGTTTCACCTGCGGTCTTGACTTTGCCACCTGCAGGTACACTTCATGGAGTTTCTGGGTGGTATCGAAGTTCAGGAAGTTGAACGGGATCCCAGCACGAAACATGGCCTCCGCCCATGCAATGTCCAGTTTCTTCTCCGCATCGTTGTCCACCCACCTCCTTATTGTTGACTGCTGCAATGAGGACAGTTGTGTGTTCGACCCCGACGCCTCACCCCCCGCCGCCTCCAAAGCATTCTCCTTGTGCAAATCCCCTGCATCACATGGTGGAGCAGCCCTGCCCGCAGTGGGCGGTGGCTGTGCCTCAAGGTATGCGGGAACTTCGACCACCTCGTCGGCCTTCTCCGTCTGATCGACCCCCCCTTCTGGAATCCCATGCAGCGGCCTGTAATTCTTCAGCCAGTACCGCGTATTCTTATCACCCGGCAGCACTTTCCCCCTGGAGTTGACGAGCTCATTCACCATTTCCCCTGTGCGCGATGGACACGGCTTTTGCGTCTTCAGGTAATGTTCCACCGCTCTTGAGCTCGTGCCCCTCCAAATCTGCATGCACAACCGACACCCCACCCAATACTCGCCTCTCCCTTTCTCCCCGGCTTCTTGACCCTGTTCTGCGTACTTCCACACATGCTTCTCCCTCTGCAACTTGTCCTGCCTCGCCTTGTCTTGTGGAACGAACAGCGAAGGGTCCATTGCCGGCGTGGGGTCTTTGGAGGTCATTGTGGATGTGGGTGTAGCGGAGGTGCTTGCAACTTTGTCTTTTCCTTTTTCTGCTGCCGTCTTGCCCCTCCTCCGTCCAGACCCGCCACGCTGGCACCGCCCGCCACAGTGTCGTGGAAGTAGAAGATGCAAGGACAACCAGCGAGGGAAAAACCAAGTTCAAATATCGGAAGAAGAAGAAGAAGAAGAAGAAGAAGAAGAAGAAGAAGAAGAAGAAGACTTAGAAGGAGAAGAAGTAGTAGTTGTAGAAGAAGAAGAAGAAGAAGACTTAGGGAGGAGGAGGAGACTTAGGGAGGAGGAGGAGACTTAGGGAGGAGGAGGAGAAAGGAGGAGAAGGTGGCGAGAAGAAGACGAAGGGAGGGGGAGGAGGAGGAGGAGAGAAGAAGACAACGGGAGGGGGAGGAGGAGAGAGAGGAGGAGAAGGAGCAGGAGGAGGAGAAGGAGAAGGAGCAGGAGGAGGAGGAGGAAAACCTGTCGATTTTGAGTTGGAGGAGGAGGAGGAGGCAGAGACGAGAAGATGAGAGGAGGAGGAGGAGGAGGACCTGCCGATTTTGATTTGCGTTGA